GAGGGAGGTGGGATTGGGGAGTGGCCTGGGGGCCCAGGGGCCCAAGGCTGTACTACTGAGCCCCAACCAGGCCCTTACCACCACTGACCCCACACACACACCTTCTAGATGGGCATTCTTTTTCTTGGGCCCTCTCTCCAGTCCTAGGACACCCCCTTTCCCTTTGTCCCGGCACTCAGGAGCTCAGATCCCCAGGCTCATGATTTCCCTCCAGGGGGACTAGAGAGAGAGCAGTGAGGCTTAGAAGTAAAGGCACTAAGTTAGTATTGTGCTCTACTCCCCCGCCCCCAACCTGAAACCTCTGGGTCTAAAGTCTGGTTTTGCTCCTGGGGTTCCAAGGGGAGGGAAAAGGGCAAAGCTGAGGTTGGGGAACCTCTTCAAAGGGTGCCTAGGTGTGAGGGGTGTACATGTGGGGGTGGGGGGTAGGGGGAACCAAGGGCCTCAGGAGAAGGCCGCAGCCCTGTGCCCCACCCCATCCCAACACAGGGCTGCTGGCCTTATACCATCTCAAGTCTGAAAAACTTCTGGGGGGTTTCTAAACCTTCCCTCTTGATGGGCACAGCAGTCCTGCAGTGGGGAAGGTGGCCAGTTGCCATCTTAAGCAGCAGAACCGTAGCATAGGCACCGTCTGCAAGGTCACACAGATAGGAGCTGTCAAAATCCAGATTCCAGCCCTGGTCCACCTGCTCAGCCAGGTTACCAGGTGCCAGGGGTTCCCAGTGGGCCTCCGTCACCCCACCAGTCTTTTTGTTTTTCTCTCCATTACTCTGAGTGGAAAGTAATTGGAGAAGAAAAAAAATACATACACACGTATGTATGTGTTTATAGATATGCACACACACAGTGGAATATTACTCGGCGATCAAAAAAGATAAACTCATGCCATTTGCAGCAACATGGATGGAGCTGGAAGGGATTATGCTCAGTGAAATAAGTCAGAAGGAAAAGAAAAATATCAAATCATTTCACTTATATGAGGAATATAAGAACACCACGTAAGACATGGGGGGTGGAGTGTATTGTTACTACAACACAAAACACAACAAATTATAAACCAGAGATATCCTAAGGAGAGGAGGACAGAGAGGATTCAGAAGGGGAGCTATGGTAATGGGGGGAGGAGGAAGTAAGCATTGTTGTAAAATGAACAATAATATAAATAGATATATTTACAAAACTATATATGCTTCGTGTATATAACTTGTTGAGTTTGGAGTAAGTATACACCTGAGTAAATATTACCACTATCAAGGTCATAAATATATCTATCACCTCTGAATTTTCCTCTTGCTCCCTTCATCATCATTATCATTTTTCTTTTTTTTTTTTAAGAGTTACTTTTATTTATTTATACATACAGAAACTTGGGTGCAGTTTCGAGGTGGAGGAGTGGGGGTGAGAGGATTCCCCAGAGACAGAGTGGGGGGGCAGAACAGATGGATCTACTGAAATCCACTGCTGAGGGGAGCAGCAGGGAGACAGAAGAGGTCTCCTGTGGGTCACCTCCCTGGTTGGCGATAGTTTGATAGTGCCAAGACTTTAGCCCTGTGCCCAAAGGGAGCCCCCCCCCCTTATTATTCTCTTGCTCTTGCTCCCTCTTCCTCTTGCTCGATCACTCACGCTCTCCTCAGCATTTACCAGCTCCGCTCTCGCAGACGTTAGTGTGCACTACAGTATTGGCTGTAGGCACCACTGCCCCTGTAGTACCGCTCTAGAGCTTATTTCTCTTAAAGAACTGAAATGTTCTACCTTTAATTAGCTGGATTTTGTTACTGTTCCCCCCTTCCCAGTAAGAAAGGGCCCAAAGCATTCTCCAGGCTCTGCAGGTGGCAGTGAAGTAGCTCCATGGGTTTCCTGAATGGGGAACTTTGCTTGAGCTTGGGTGACTTTCAAGAATGAAAGTTAACTGAGGCTAAGAATAGTCCACCAGGTTTGGGCCTGTCTCCAGGCCTGGGGCTGGGCAATTCTCCAGTTTCTCTGCAGACAGCTCCCTCTGGTGGCATGTGGAAGAGCAGAGCCTGCTGACTCCTTACTCCGAGATAGTCAGGTATGTCCAGGAGTGA